GTACATATAGTTTGATGACTTTTTTGACTTCAAGTAAAAATATGTTGTAATGGTCTTCAACAGTTTTGCATCCAGTGAATAGAAATTGCCAATCAAGGGATGAGAGATGGTTGTCTATAAGATCATAGTTGCCTTTTTTGAAGTTATAATTGGGGATCACATAGTTGTGTTGATTTTTGTGTGGATGTATGTTGAGACAAAAGTCAATCATGTTGTGGTCACTGTTGGAAAAGGGTTCTTTAATTTGTATTCCGTAAATTGAATTCAAACTATTGCAGAAGATGAGATCGAGGCAGTTGTTAAGTCTAGTATTGTTGGTTACTAGTTGTTCCAGTCCCAGGTTTGTTACAGCATTGTAGAAGGTTGCATGTATGGGTTCAGTTTTACATTCGTTAAGGGTCCAGTTAATGTGAGGTAGATTGAAGTCACCAAGAAAGATAAAAGTGTGTGGGCAGGATGTTGTCCATGTTAGTAGTGAATTTAGCTTGTTTACATGTTCGATGTCATAATCAGGGGCTCTGTAACATAGTAAGAATCGAAATGTGATATTTAAGGACAGTTCACAGACGATGATCTCAGGAAGAGAAAGCTCTTGGGTAACTTGGATGTTTTTTAGATGTAAGGACTTTTTATAGAAGATAGCAGCATCACCTCCTCTATGGATTTCACGATCTGATCGGTAAACATGATAGTCTCTTACTGTGGTAATGGAGTCAGGGAGAGATGCATTGAGCCATGTTTCACAGACAAATATGATGTCGAATTTAGCCATATTTAGTAAGAGGAGAACTTCAGGTATTTTATTCACAAGGCTTCTTGCATTGAGTAGCTTGCATTTAAGGCCAGTTGTAGTTGGAATTGAGGTAGTTAGGCGTGTGTGTGCCTAATTTTGAGTGATGGTGGGTTGGATGAGGTAGGGTTGGATGTGGAGTTGTGGGTTGTGTGACTTACTTTTGATACAATCTGCGTGATAGTCAATGTAGAGATCCTTCTCTCCATTGTCTAGACGTCTTTTGAGTTCCTTGCGGAGTTCACGGGAGCGGATTCTTTGCAGTATGGATAAGTCTGGTCTTGAGCGAAGTTTTTTGTGGTTGGGATTGGTTTTTGCAATGGTGTTTATTGTATGAATGAATGTGCGTTTGCTGGACTCATTTTTGCAAACAACTCTACAACATTTTGGGGGCACCAAGCCATCATCGTATTTGGACTCAGGGCCATCTCTGGTTACTTCAGTGATATCTTCAGGAGCGATGTTTGTTGTATTTGAGTTGCTTATGATATTACGAACTTTGGTGATGTCATCTGATTCGTTGGTGTCTTCAAGACCAAATAAGATGGCATTTTGGACGTTTCTGATCACGTTCAATGGTGTCTCTGATGAGTAAGGAGATATCATTTGTGGAATTATTTGATGGGATAGTAATTACTTGTGGTTGTGGTTTGGTGGTTATTTTTGGTTGTAGTTGTGATTGTAGTTGAGGTAGTAGTTGTGGTAGTGGTTGTTGGGTTGGGATTTGATTTTGAGCTGATAGTCGCTTATCAGTGCTGTATTTTTTTTTTCAAAACGTGTTGCTAAGCATTTTTCTATTTGAGTGCATGAGTGATTCTATGCTATCAACTCTGTCAGGCAGGGTACTTGGTTTGTTTAGCTTAGGAAAACATGATGGACATAGACAAGGGAAAGTATCTGATGCTTTTAGGAGGTCAGCTAGGTCTTTGTTTAAGTTTAAACAGGCAAGGTGGGCTTGATTGTCACATAGGTAGCATTTGACGTTATTTTCGCTTTCATTGATGGTTTTAAGACATCTGAAGCATGTACAGGAGTCTGGGAGGTCATTAATAGAGATATTATTATTTTTTTGTTGTTTAGTAGTGGAGGATTTGGAGTTTCTGGAGTTTCTGGCTGGCATGGTCAATGACAATAGTACACTAAACAATTACAATAGCTAATTAATGTGATAGGTAGACAGTTACTTAATGAATGTTGGTAATTAATCAATGTTAATTGATAAGTTAGAGAACAAATCAAAAGTAAGGTTACTTATTACTAAAAATCAATCAACCAACTTTTTACTAAGAATCAATCAATCAATAGACTGGATAATCAATGATACATTATTAAATCTCTATCAGTTCAATGAATCAGTAAATTAGTGGTCATTTAACAATTAATTATGATACTATTATATGATATGATCAATTATTATAGTCAAAAGCATTATCTATAAATATTTGGCCTTGAGGTACTGAAATAGTGGAGGTAGTATAGTATTGGAGGTTTGTGGTGTAAAGTTCCTTTGTTTTTCCTTAGAGCCAGGTTTTTTGGTTTTGGTTTTGGTTTTGTTTTAAAGAAGAAGCGTTGCTGTTTGATAGATTTGAATGGAGAAGATTTGAATGAGCTCACCAATCATCTTACTTTGGAGTTTGGAAAGGATGAGATTTGGGTGGGGGTTTAGTGGAGGTTGTCCAATCATCTGAGTGGGAATTTTAATTCAGGCTGACTAATCAGCTGGGTTGTTTTAAATGGAGCTGGGTGACTTATATGGAGGCTATCAATTCTCCGTGAGTCTCCTTTGTTCTCCTCCCCAATTGGTGGCCGTTTAGAATTATTTTTGGTGATTTGATTTAAATGGAGACTGTAGACATCATTCCAGTTCTTCCATCATCGGAATTCACAGTCAGTCTCAGTTTCAAAAGGCACTTTTCCTGAATAAAAACCTTCTTCACACCTCTTCTTCTCGTCTAGTCCCCCCCTTTTTTTCCTCCTTTAATCACTCTTTTCTCAAGCTGCCATTTAACTTCCAGAGTTAGAGGGTAAAAACATAAATTAAGCCGCTGCCGCTTAATCTCCACACTCACCCCTTCCACACTCTGGAGTCTTCGCTTTTTAAGTTGTTTCTGACTCGGGTTCACAGTAAATCTTCGAGCCGTTTACCCCGCTCCTTCCTCCCACCTTCCTTCAAGATTGGGTAAATGAAGGTCTGGGACTGGCAGCAGTGGGATGGGTGGGGAAAGAGGGGGGGTCCTTTCTCACACCCACCCACCACTTGTGCAAATGAAGCTTCATGTGTGTACTTGCCCGCCGCTTGCACGGCTTGGTTCTCAAAGAGCAGGGGTGGGCTTCCAAAATTTCAGCAACAGGTTCTCTGCCCGGGTGGACGTGGCCTAGTCGGCCTCCTGTACTATGGCTGGGGGGGCCGTTTTCGCCTACCCCAGGCTCCAGAGACCCTCCAAAGGCCGGAAACAGGCTTGTTTCCAGACTTCCGGAGCTTTCAGGAGGCCCATTCTTTGCCTTCCCCAGGCTCCGGAGGCTTCCCTCCAGCCTCTGCAATGACTAAAATGGCCTCCTCCAGGGTCTGGAGGCTGGTAATGGGCCCATTTCCGACCTTCCGAAGCCTCTGGGAGGCCTGTTTTTCCGCCTCCCCGAGCCTCCGCGTGGCCCTGCACTTACCTCACATCCAAAATGGGCCTCCTGGAGGCTCCTGGGAGGGGAGCGGTGGGGCGGGCGGGGCCAGTCAGGGGGTGGGATTTGGCAGTTCGCCAAACCAGTCATAATATTAGCTACGGGTCCGCCTGAACCCAGGCGAACCCATAGCAGCCCACCCTTGCCAAAGAGCCAACGGCCTGGTACCAGGCTGCAGACGGGGGCCGGATGCATCACACAGAGCTGGAATTCTTGAACTGCCTAGAGCAGGGCTGCCAAAATGGCATCCTATGGGCTGGATGCATCACATGCCACGCCCAACCCTTGTCCGCGAATGGAGAAAAACATCGCAAAACGTCACGTGACAGGAGCGTGACACCGTGAGTTTCACACCCGTGGCCTAGACATAAATCTGCCCAGCTTTGGTGTAGTATATATAGGGACTCCTGCTTGAGCAGGGGGTTGGACTAGAAGACCTCCAAGGTCCCTTCCAACTCTGTTATTCTGTTATTTGTTCGAAAATCTCGACTGGTGGAGCCGCCGTGACTCCAGAAAGCAGGCTGCTGTTCCTCGGCATAAAAGCTGTTCGTGGGCAGAAAATTCCTCCTCATTTCAAGTTTGAATCTTCCTTGGTGGAATTCCCACTCACTTAGCAAATATCTCACTTAACAATAGTAAGTTTGGGCTCAACTGTGGTCATAAGTCGAGGACTACCTGTTGTCCTGCCCTGGGAACAAGGAGAATAAACTCCACACACACACCCTTCAATCCTGGGACAGCCCACCAGGTATTAGAAGACGGATCTTGGTGTCGTCCTCTTCTTTGGGCTAGCCCGGTGTTTCTCAATTTCAGGAAGGTGAAGCATGGAGTTGTCAGTAGCTTTTGGGGGGTTTTGCATTCTAACCATTGCACCCCTGTGGCTCTGAACGAGTAGAGCTGGAAGGGACCGTTAAGATCTTTTAATCTAACACTCTGCTCAGGCAGGAGACCCTATAGAATTTGAGACAAGTGGCTGTCCAGTCTCTTCTTAAAAACCTCCAGTGATGAAGCATCCACAGTTACTGAAGGCAAGTTTGTTCCATTGGTTGACTGTTCTCACTGCTAGAAAAATTCTCCTTAATTCCAGGTTGCTCCTCTCCTGGATTCATTCCCATCCGTTGCTTCTTGTCTTGCCTTCTGGGGCTTTGAGAAATAAGTTGAATCAGCTGGAAGGGACCTTGGAGGTCTTCTAGTCCAGCCCCCTGCTCCAGCAGGAGAACCTATAGCATTTCAGATAGGTGACTGCCGAGAGAGTCTTCTTAAAAACATCCAGTGAAGGAGCCCCCACGATTTCTGAAGACAAGCTGGTTAATTGGTCCTGCTAGGAAGTTTCTCCTGAATTCCAGGTCGCTTCCCTCCTTGATTAGTTTCCATCCGTTGCTTCTTGTCCTGCCCTCAGGGGCTTTGGGGAATAAGCTGACACCTGTAACTGTTCCAAGTTACGTTGGAACCCCTCAAAGGCTACTTACGACTCGTAACTTTGAACAGTTGCTTAGCAACCAGTCATTTTAAATGAAAACTACCTGAAATCTACCTGTTGTCCCCCCCCCCCAGTTTTCTCTAAAATTATTATACACAATTATGATGCACGTTCTTAGGAAACACAACTGTCCTGCATAATTATTTCATTTGTTCTGTCCTGGATATGTCCTGTGTGTCCTGTTTCGTTCATTAAAATAATGCCGTTCTTCACAAATAGATCATGTCACGTTTTGAAGATCAAATTTGGGTTTTGAAACCGACACTTCGCTTCCCTTGCTTCTCGCCTCTCGAAACGATTCCAAATAGGGGGCAACTCAAGGAGGAAGGTGCAGTGCTGTCTGCACATGCTCAGGGGCCACAGCCTTCTCCGTCCTGACACGGAAAGTTCTTCCTTGTGTCCTTGCAGGGCAGGTGCCTAACGAGACCAGGCAGAACGGGCAGAGCTGCACCAGGGGGCTGCCCAAACCGGTCTGCATGAATGGGACGGAGTCTGCTCAGCTGGTCAGCAAGACGAAAGCCGAGCGGAGGGCCAGCGCCTCTTCCAACCCTTCTCGCAAGACCTCTTCCGCCAGCAGCAAGATCCGCAAACTCTCGACCTGCAAGCAGCAGTGACCCCAGCTGGACTGCGCCCGCCACGGTTCGTATGACCTCAGTCCGCTTTCGGTGGCAGGTTTACGGCAGGGTGGGAGGGGGTCTCTCCAGGTAGTCCTCGACGTACGATCACAACGGAGCCCGACATTTCCGTTGCTAAGTGAAGATTAAGTGAGGTTTTGCCTCATTTTACAACCTTTCTTGCCCCAGTTGTTAATAGCAATAGCACTTAAAACTTACATACCACTTTACAGCCCTCTCTAAGCGGTTTACAGAGTCAACCTACGGCCCCCAACAAGCGGCACCCTCATTTAAATGAAACCCTGCAGCTGTCAGGTTAGTAACCCGGTTGTTAAGTGAATCCGGACTTTCCTTGTAAGTTGCAAAAGGGGATCACGTGACACCCCCCGGGACGCTGCAACCATCATAAATAGGAACCAGTTGGATTGTGATCATGTGACCACGAGGATGCTGCAACGGTCCTAAGTGTAAAAAATGGTCATAAGTCACCTTTTTCAGTGCCGTTGTAACTTTGAACAGTCACTTAATGAACAGTTATAAGTCGAGGACTATCTGTAGTGAGAGCCACCTTTGGCAAGACAGGCCGTATACGTGTTCGATAAATAGATAAAAAATGAGTATGAGGGATCGACCTTGGGAGAGAAGATTGGCAGATTAGACAACAGATAAGAGGCAGCCGAGCCCTCAGAAAGAAAACTGGAGTGCGGATCGTCTCAGAAGAGACTCTCCCTGGTTCCCAAAAGTGGTTAGAGCTAAGTTCTGAATCGGGGGCTAGGGGATCAGGGTTGCAAAGGGGTTAAAACAAGCTTAAACCTCTGCGGGGGCTTCAGGATCCCGGTTAGTCCCTTAACTGACAAATTTTCAGAATGAAAATTTGGTGTCAGAATGTGACTCCCATCTTCTCCGAGACAGCAGACAAGGAGCATCGTGGAATGAGCAAAGGACCTTGGGAGGCAAGCAGAAGAGCTTCAGACGAAGCAGCAGTCAGATAAAGAGGCAGTGGAGCCCCCAGAAGGAAAAGGAACACGGGCGCAGGGGTGGGCTTCAAAAATTTTAGCAATGGGTTCTCTGCCCAGTTGCTGGGTGGGCGTGGCCTAGTCGGCCTCCTGCACCATGGCCGGAGGGGGGGGGGCGTTTTTGCCCTCCCCGGACTCCGAAAGCTTTCCTCAAGGCTCTGAGAGGGTGAAAATGGCCTCCCGAGGCTCTCTGGAAGCCAGATACAGGCCCATTTCTGGCCTTCCCAAACTTCCAGGAGGCCCATTTTTCACTGTCGCCGAGCCTCCGCGTATGCCCTGCACTTACCTGCATCCAAAACGGGCCACGTGGGGACTCCTGGGAGGGGAGGGGCAGGCTGGGCAGGGGCAGCCAGGAGTGGGATTTGGGGGAGTTCTCTAAACCAGTGATCCCCAACCTTTTTTACGCCGCGGCCCGGTACCGGCATCAGCTGGGCGCCGCCATCTTTTTTT